CTACTGCTGCAATACTCTGCTAGGGGTTAATCCTCAAACCCTAACATCAGAAAACCTTTGCAGTGGCTTCTAAGCTCTTCCAAGCCTGGGATTGAAAGGTTGACAAGTATCTTCAAAAGGATGAAGACCCAATTGCTTGGGTGGAATTGCTTCTCAGATTTGGACCTGACTTGCAAATATTTAACCCCAGTCCTGTGGCATAGAGAAATGATGATTTATTGACAGAGTTGGGTTTGGGGTTTCAACAAGCAATCTGATACTTAAACACAGGCCATTGTTTAGTCATCTTAGTATTGTGTGGCTGGACACTTCCCACTTGCATGGGCTCCTCAACAGAATGTGGTGGACAGCACATTTTTTTTGGGTGACACCTTAAAGAAACATTTTTGGTAGAAATAGAATATGTAAAAAATGGCAGTGATCATATGAAGAAGTAAACATAGGTAACCCTAGAGCTGATTTTAAAGATTAACTTCCTGTTTTATTAATTAATATATTGCTATTTAAACTAAGATTATAGTTTAAGTTTTTTTTTTCCATTCTAGCCTTATAATGAAGAATAAATTAAGGGCACCAAGAAGAAAACATCTAAATACATCTCAGAGTAGACATTCCATCTTATATTAGATGCTCTTGGATGGTAAGCTATTCCAAAGAAATGAGCTTTAATATATATGAGTAATTTCTTAGACTAGATAAATGGCAATCCTAATGAAGGGGTCCTAAGGATACTAAATGAAAACAAATCTTAGAAAATAACCATGACAAATAGCATATGTATAATTGCAATGGTTTTATTGATAGACATATTTTCAATGAGAATTGACTACTTTCTACTTAAAAATGTGTTTATGTAAGAATAATTGTTCATCATAATGTATCTGCCTTATATGATCATAGAATAGATTCAAATATCATATTTTCATAATAACATTGATAAGTTCCACACAATATTTGTAAATTAATGAACTCAGCAGACCTTTGGAGAGGTCCTGAAATCACCCATAAATGATGACAGAGCCATGGAGGAATGGATAGAGATGCTGGCAATGGAAGAGGGTGGAGCACCCTGAGGCAATTAGGGATCCCAATCCTAGGGTGGAAGCATGGGTGTGTTTGTATGTTTAGAGATGGATTTTTGCTGCTCTCCACTCAGACTAAGAGAGGGTGAGTACATGTGCTCTCTCTACTGCAGGCCAGTGAGAAAGACCAACAATTGAGTAGAGTGTGTGGCGGGTTGTCTGGTTGAAGGGCCTCATGGGCTCTCTTTCTTCTCTTTCATCTCCCTTGTGGTCTTAGATGAGGGACTAGCCTGCAATACTGCATTCTAACCACCATGGCTCTTACATGAATAACATGAATGTTTTAGCTAGAATGCTACAGGCAGTCCTTGCTTTATGACCACAATTGAGCCCAAATCATAAGTCATTAAGCCCAAATCATTGCAATCATTAAGTGGGAATGCTTTGTTCAACATCCACAATACTAGCAATTCCAATTCTGATCATTAATCAATTGCATGACTCATTAGCAAATGGAATCCTAGCTTGGGGCTACCTTGGGGTGATGGTGGAAGGAAAGACTCTGGGAGGCCTACTGCAAGCCACAGAATGGTATGCTAACACAATGACACAGAGGCTAGGTAAAGAAACTGCAGACTTCCTTGAAACCTTCAGTTGGCCCAGCTTGACACAACAATATAGCCAAAAGATGCCATACACTGGGGAACACCAAATACCTTGAAAGCTTCAAGAGCATGGTATGAAGCCGCCTCATCCAATAAAAGACCAAATGCTGAAGAAGCCATGGTCACCCCAACCCAGCCTTGCTCTAGAACAGGAAGCTAGGAATTAGACAGACTACTGGGATGGGAAAACCATTAAAGCTGCTCCAATCTGATCTTTTCCTCATGCACAACAATGCCAATTGAACAATGCCATGCGCCAACTGGTGGGTTTCCCTATCATGGAATTGTTTACTACAGCATTTTCCAGTCAGCTACTGATTGAGTTGAACTTAGTGCCCTTCCTACATCACTGGCGGACCTAGGCCCTGTCTGTCTGTAGGGATAGTGGGAGAATTTCATCTGCCTCAGACTTACCAACTTCAAAAGGAAGAAAACATTCAGTGGAGTCTATATGGTGGGGAAGTCAACTTGCTTTTGACATTTTTTAAAAATTGAGAGAAATACACACATAACACAGAGATTTATTTCCATATCTTAAGAGCCATGGTGGCACAGTGGGTAGAATGAAGTGCTGCAGGCTACTTCAGCTGACTGCCAGATACCTCCAGTTCGGCAGTTCAGTGGCTCAAGGTTGACTCAGCCTTCCAGCCTTCCAAGGTCAGTAAACTGAGAACACACATTGTTGGTGAAAATATGCTGACTCTGTAAACTGCTTAGAGAGGGCTGGCTCCCAGTTCTCCAGGTACCTGCATTGCACTGTCATCTCAGTTTGTTTCTGTCTCTGTCCTTGGTGGAGCTTCAAGGTCTTTCTTTGTTTCTGGTGGAGAGTTTGTTTCTGGTGGAGTCTTTTCTGGCTGGTGGCAGACAGAGGTGCCCAAACAGCCATGCAGTTGGTCAATGTGGTGGTGCCATACTTGGCCATTCTCCATAATGTAGTCCTGTTATGGCTACCACTTGGGCAGGATTTCAGAGGGCACCCCCAGCATAGTTATGTGCATAGACTAGGTCTCCCATAGTAAAAGACCAGAGTTGGCTGGTCGAGTTGGTGGGTTCCTCTGCAAAATAGTCAGTGTGTAGTCTGCCAGGTCAGTTCTTAGACAGTGACTGACCAGACTCTAGTTAGTCATGGTGCTTGGTGTGACATGCTGGACTAATATGTATTTGGCTATATGAGTCTGCCAGTCCACCAGGCCCATTCATGCCAGCATCTCTTTTTTTGACCACACTATTCTCTCAATCTGCCCATTGCTAGCAAGATGTAATGGTGCAATCAGGTCATGATGGATGCCATGACCCACCAGGAATAGTTCAAATTGGTTGGACATGAGCTGCGGCCCATTGTCTGACACCAAGATGTCTAGTAGTCCATGGGTCGCAAATAGTTTTTGTAGTGCCTTAATGACAGTGTCTGAGGTGGTTGATGGGATTAATACCACCTCCAGCCATTTGGAATATGAATCGACCACCCTGAGTGTCTGGAATGGCCCAGCAAAATCAACATAGACCCTTGACCAGGGTGTTTTGGGCACTTCCCACTCATGCACTGGAGCAAAGAATGGTGCTGGTCTTGTCTCTTGACACTGCTTGGTAGAGGTGACCCATTCAGTGATGGCTTTATCCAGGTTGGGCCACCAAACATAACTGAGGGCAAACACTTATATTCTGACAATGCGTGGGTGGCCTACATGCAATACTTCCAGGACTGGTTGCCGCAGCTTCTGTGGGACTATTACTCTATTCCCCCACAGTAAACAGCTCTTCTGAGCTGACAGTTCATGTTGCTGGGCCTGGAAAGGCAGGAACTCTGCTCTGATGGGCCCCTTTGGCCATCTCCTCCATACCAGTTGACCACTTGGGTGATGACCTGGTCTTTGGTGGACTGTTTGATGATCTTGCCTTCTGTAATGGGACCAGGTGGCAGTTCCTCTATTAGAAGGACAGGGGCAACTGGGACCAGGTCCTTAGGATGGAAGTGGGCAGTTGCTAAGGGCATCAGCATGGCTGAGGGACTTACCCAGTCGGTGTATGAGTCAGTAGCTGTATGCTGCCAAGAAAACTGTCCAGTGCATCATGCAAGGGAACAAAATGTTTGCTGTTTGTCCCCAGAGAGTATCCTAGCAGTGACTTTTGATTTGACCACAGCCAAATCAATTCCTTGTCCTTGTCCAGCTGACTGTAATTTCTTTCAGCTGCTGACAAAATCCTTGAGTAGAATGTGATTGGAGACTCCTCTCAATTCAGGACTTGGTGGCTTAGGACCACTCCTATGCCAAATGTGGAGACATCGCAGGTGAGAACTAATGGGAGATTCTCATTGTATTGTACTAAGATGCTGTAGGATTACAGAAGGCCTTTGACTGTGGAAAATGAAGCAGTTTCTTTTCAGCCCCAGGACCATGGTGTCT